CCAAGCCAATTGACAATTTCCTGTGACCCTTTAGAAGCAGTTGAGGAAGGCTTTTTCCTGAAGAATCTCTGGGTTTGGACCACTTTTGAAAAACCAATCTTATAGTGGGTAGTCAAACATTTAACAGTTTTTACCACCCAGAGATTCCTCAGAATGCCAATAGGCAGGCTGTATTCCACTGCTGGCCAGTGATTACTGATTACAGTGGGGTACTTCTTGAGGCCTGTAGAAGGCTCTGGAAGAGAAGGTGAAGGTAAGGCCAGGTGTGCCGAGCTCCCTGGCTGTGTCCTCAAAACACCTTCCTCACCCAGATGCAGAGCTGGACCTCCTGAGAAGCGTGCAGGCTGTGCTCCGGGAGCTCAGCACCCCCGCCCCCACCCTACAGAGCAATCAAGGTAAGAGCTTGCAGGTATATCATATCCATCTACTGCCCAGCCCAGCCAGTTCTGACCACAGGCCCAGGGAAACTGCCCCAATCTAGAGCTGATGGGGTGAAGTGTGTCCGGTCAAACCCCTGTTCTGCTGGAAATGTCTCAAGTCAAAAGGATGGAGACCCCTCGCTCTCTGCTCAGTTCTCCCAAGCACCATTGTAGGGTACAAGGAGATCTGCTTCTCTCTTTCTTAACCCCCTTCCTCACTCCTTTTCCAAACATAATCCCCCTCGGCACCACAGAACATCCAGAGCGTTGGTTCAGGAACACTGACTTGCAGCCATTGTTGCCCGTACACCTGCTGTCTCCTTGCCTTTGAGCATGGCACACCTGCCGCTGTCCCTTTCCCTCCTTTCCACTCCGGAACTCTCTGTCCACACATGGTCTGCAGATGCAAAATTACCCACATTTAAGAAACCCCTGGCTGAGGGTCGGACCTGCCTCTGGTCAGAAGTGCCATCTGGGGCTTGAGGGCTCAGGCCCTTGTTCAGAGGATTCTCCTCTGAGAATCTGTTCTCTTGGCCCAGGTATGTGGAGATGGTCCCTGCACAAGAAGGTGGAGAGAGATCCAGGGAAGAACCCAGCTCTGGTCCGAATCCTGCTCAGAGAGCTAGAGAAGGTGGGTTCTTGGGCTTTGGGGAGGCAGATGGGGATGAGAAAAGAGAGGGGCTGGTTGAATTGGGACTCAGCACTAGTCCTGGTGTGGCGTTGTGGGTTAAGGCGCCAGACTGCAAAGCCGTTTGAACTGCAAGGTCGGCGGTTCAAACTCACCAGCTGCTCCTTGGAAACCCTATCCAGGGTCACTATGGGTTGGAATTGACTCGACGGCACTCAACAACAGTAACTATTATCCCATTAGCACTATGTATCCCAAACATGGGTCACTGGTGGGGAGTCCTGGTAATTGTTACCATATGTGATGTGAGGGTAAGTCAAAACGTATTTCTACATGACTGAGCTCTTAAAAGCTCCTGAGTGGCCATCTAAGGTGCAACCATTGGTCTCTCTTTGTCTGATGGAAAGCAGACTGATAAGAATTGAAGATACTTGGAAACGATTAGTCCAGTGAACTAATTAAGACCATATGAACATTGGTCTCCACAACCCTGAGACTAGAAGAATTAGACAGTGTCTGGCTATTACTACCATCTGCTCTGAAAAGGATCGCATCAGATGGTCCTGGATAAAGTAGGAGAAAATGTGCAACAAAACTTGAAATCATAAAATAGGCCAAGCTCACTGGTCAGATAGACATTAATGGAACCCTGAGACTCTTTAAGTCTGGAACTAAACTCACCTCCATCCTTCAACGTCCAGCCAAGCATGTTGTTGTTAGGTGCCAATGAGTCATTTATGACTCATAGTGACCTTATGCACAACAGAACAGAACACTGTCAGTCCCGCACTATCCTCACAATTGTTATGCTTGACCTCATTGCTGCTGCCACTGTGCCAATCTGTCTTCCTCTTTTTTTCTCTGACCCTCCACTTTACCAAGCATGATGTCCTAACAGGGACTGGTCCCTCCTGATAATATGTCCGAAGTATG